GCAAATATCAATCAATTTTTAATACGATAAAGTGTTGCAAATGATGATTGAAATTGTGTTCGAAGGTTGAAGATTCGATGCCGCGGCAATCCCAGACGCCAGTCTGTCAGCTGCTATCGAAAATTAAATCGCAACTCCACGCTGATTAGCAAAACTTGGAATTTGAAATGGGCGTGTGGACGTGTGGACAGGCAGCCGTAACGTGTGATATCAATGTGTCATAAAAAACCTCACGTGCTACCAGAGCGATGATGCATTTGTATACTTTACTATAGTATACTGAGAGAAAAATATGTTAAATTAATTATGTTACTATGGTAAATTGTATAAGTGCCAAAGTCGATTCTTTACCCGTCACAGTTCTTAAGCCAAATAAGGCTTATTAGTCAATATAAATGTAATTTTCAAAAAGTTATTTAACTAAGATATGCCTTCATATCAATAAGCCGAATTTGCAAAGAAAATAAGGTGTTTTATTTTAAAAGTTATTGTTGAAAGATAGTTGAATTTTCAATTAGTCTTATTACGCTGATTATATGACCCGTATATACGGGTAGTACTGTATACCTAAAACACGTTTAATTATTCTGTCTGTCAAATACATTCAGATTATTTGCTGCTCGGAATGCATCCTTTATAAACGGGATACAAAAGTTCTATTTAGAACTAAGATTCGTGTGAACACAAATATGTAAGTAGGAATCCTTTTTTTAAGTGTAGGGGCCACATACATTTAATTTATTCATTAAATTCTTATGATTCGTCACTAACAATGAAATGCAAGAGATTTTCGATACACACATTCATATTTGTGAAATGTACACAAATATACAAGTATAATATACTTAAGCATTTTAAAGTTTGAAACATCTGATTATCGACTCTAACACAAGTAGTATTGATTATAGAATTTTCAACTTATCTAAACCTCTGTATTGCAATGTCGCATGTCTTAATGTCAATTGAAAGAGATGCGGGATCAGCGTAGCTAGAAAATTCAATTTCCTTTTGGCTACCCTGCACATGGCCAAGCGATAAAAGGCAATATGCAATTTTCGCATGCTCTTTCAATGTCGAATATTGAAAGGCAGTCGCCTAAGCGGCTTAGCAGGGACTCTTTTCACAGGTTGGAAAGATTGATTGGCATGCCCAATCAAATCCAGTTATTTCTTGAATTTGTTGCAACGGTTGTGATTTTTATGCAAATTTTAATGAAATATTTACATTTGAAAGCAATTCAACTGGAAACCGACGCATTTAGTAGAAGGACAGCGAACGAAAAAGATGATGGTTGTGCTGGATACCGAAGAGGTGGAGGAGGGGGAGCTTAAGGAGGAGGAATGGTATGTAATTGGCATGTGCACAAATCAACTCGATTCTGGCACATTTAATTATTTCACCGAAGGCAATAATTTATAATACTAATTAAAATTTCGAACACGCACCGATCACATACACAAACACACACACTTACACTTATACGTGTATAGATAGACCGCATAAATAATCACTCAAAATGCGCCGTTGGCATTGAAAATTTTCATTTGGCATGCAGACAACGGTTGCCACGTTACAACAAAGCACACTCACATACTATATACAAGTATGTATGTACGTTACACCATTAAAATAATGGCATGCATGTGCCGTTGTAACCTTTATCAATCAAATGTTAATTAAGTTTTGACTCAAACGCCCGAATACCAAACTAACTAACTAACCCGCCCGACCACAAAATGGCGGGACACGACATTGGACTCGAACGCGCTCCTGACCTTTAATGGCAACCCTTCCTGGCAATATGTATGCATTACTTTGGACAACACTTTCGGTACATTCGTGCAAGGAATCAGCGTATATGCCATGTAGACACATTTCAGCTAGTGTAATGGGAATTTCCTTCGCTATACTTGCAAAAAAGTTCAGCAAGAAGCAAAAGTACGAGTAAAATAAAATAATAGTTTCAACATTGCTGTTGTCAACAATACAAAAACGTTACCGGAAACGGAAATACTGCTCAGTAGTCAGTCATGTCTCTTTGTATGGGTGTGTCTGTATTAAATATATATATATGTGTATGTATGCGTAGCTTGTTTGTAATGGTTGTTTGGTTAACATGCGCACAGATTGACGCGTGGCCAAATTGTACACAGCCACAAATTGTGGCAATTTTGGTTGCTGATACTACATAAACGGCATTGTCAACGCGCGCACAACCAGAAGTGAAATATGGTTGTTCACTTTTTATACACTGTACCCAAAGGGTACAAGGGTATATTAGTTTTGTGCGAATGTACATGTAACACACTGAAGGAGGCGTGGCAGACCCCACAAAGTATATATATTCTTGATCAGCATGACAAGCCGAGTCGATATAGCCATGTCCGCCTGTCCGTCTGTCTGTCTGTCTGTCTGTCCGTCTGTCTGTATGAACGCAAGGATCTCAGAAAGTATAAGAGCTAGAATAACCAACCTTGGTATACATATTCTCCTGAGCCCGAGAAAGGACGAGTTTGTTAATTTTTTCCCGTAATTAACTCCCGTAATTCTTAGAATGAAATTTGGTAGACACATCCAGTTAGTGATTATATATCCGTATACCAAGTTTCATTATGATAGGGTAATTAGAAAGAAAGTTATAGCCATATAACCAGGCCAATACGCAATACTCATACAAGTACATGGAATATTTTATATTTAATTTAGTTAATTAATTAAATTAATTTAATTACATTAATTAATTAATTTAATTAAATTTTTTTTGTGGGGTGGTACAGGGTATTTAAGAGTTGAGCCTGCTTGACTTCAGCATTCCTTTCTTGTTCGTATTACCAAATGCAAATGGACAAACAAGGCAACTCGTGTTAGCTCCCGTTGAGCTAAGCCAAATCATTGTTAGTGCAGCTATATTACCAGAAAACTGTCCTATTGATATGTTTTAATGTTGAAAATAGCGCATGGAATATTTATCTGCTAAAAATACTGATAATAATGCAACTTTCAGATCAATCTGAACGATTTATTAAAAAAAAAAAAATAAAATATGGATGAAAAATATTTACTGAGCCGATCATTAGAAAGAGACAGGAAACAAACTTTCAAATCCCATTTTAATTATATTCCCCTCTTTAGTAGTCTGTCATATCCTGCTTAAACGTGAGAAGGCGGTAGTGAAGATCCAATTTTCTGTTCAATTCATTTATAAACACTAACAGAAAAGAAATAAATAATTTCCAAAATCAATCCTTTAAAATAATATGTACAAAAGTAATAGTCAAATTAGTATACAAAAAATAATACACTTATGATATATATAGTAGAATTGGTTTTGCACTTGCTATGTGTATTTCTGCTGTCACTAGGAAGGCTTCCGAACACACATCTGCTGTTGAAGCTGAAAAGAACATTATTGGAGTAACACAACAGTTTTAGCTACTGCCGCTATTGATTTATAGCAAGCTAGTAGGGACAGAAGGGAGAGAAAGAGAGTGAGACTAAGCGTTGCCAGTCTCGTCAGGCCGAGTAACCAAACTTTGCTGAATTATATTTCAATTTTCGTAAACATATAAATACGAGAACAAGGGAAACCAAATAAAGCAACAGCATAAAAAAGAAAGGACGAAGGAGAAACACGTTAAAACTTTTTGACAATTGACTTAAAAAGTTTTCAAGCTGCCAAAAATTGAGTTCTTTTGTATACAAATAGGCCAAAATCAGACTAAAACACAGAGAAGCGAACACACAGAAACTCATTTACAAGACAGACACCAACACACACGTCGACAAACATGTACATGTACTGCTAAACGCAATCGTGGAGTAAATCGCGCCGAGCTTGAGCGGGCGTTGAACGGAAGTAAACACATAAAACGGAAATGAAAATTCAATTATTTCGTTACGATTGTTCCATGCGCTACAACTTTTTGTTTGTTTCTTCATTGGCACAACGCACACACATCCACGTCGTTATACAACGCACAGCCAACAAACAGGCACAGTCGAAGGAAGGACCTGCAGAATGAAACAACAAACCACCCAGCCACACTCAGCCACACTCAGCCACTGCAGACAATGCTGCAAAGCGGCAAAGTTTAAAATTAAGTTAAGCCAGAGTGAGGCCCACATGCAGCTGGCAGCGATGCGCTCAATGCAACTTTGAATTTTGCAAATTGAATTGCCTGTTTCATTTTTTTCATTGCTAGAGCCAACTGCAGGTAACACACCAAAAATATATTTTAACCAAATTTTGGCATATGCACTTTCAGGATATCCCTTTTCTATACTTGTATTTTTTGTCAGTCGCTTCAGTACTAAATCGGTTATCCCTGCGCATGCCAGTCAACATTTCATGCACAATTAGCGTGACCGAATCCATTTGTCGAGCGCTTCTACTTTTTTCTTTAATAGCACGTCCGTTCATTTGACAGTCCGGATGAATGCTATCGACCAAAAAATCACAAAAGTTATCATTTTCGCTGTCGTGACCAGCAGATGTGCGCATTTTCTCATCTCATATAATGCAGCGGAAAAGCCATGCAATGCACAATTCCCCCTTCAAGGCATGGAAAACTTGCTGGAGGATACATACAATAGATAACTAATGGTCTACTGAGAGTTACACTGATGCTCAGTTATTACCAATTAAAATATTCAAGAAATGCCGAAAAGTTGCTGAAATTATTAAAGATGAAACGACAACAACCAAAATTCGTGCATAGGACTCGCTGAACATTCTTTGTTGGGACGATCGCTTAGGACTGACTAACGGCCAATATTATTTGTTATACTTTGTTCTTAGTACTGTTTAGCTTTGACTATTTTGGGAAATTAATAATTACGTTGATTTTTTATTTTTATTTTTTTCCTTTGAAATGCTCCTCAAGGCCACTTTTAATTTCTGACCAATATAGAACTTAAATGCAAAGCGATCTTGCTCTCTCATGAATATTATCTTATCTGTATTGAATCCTTAAAAGAGTAAGCACACTTAATCTAAGCAATAACTTTTAATTTTACACTAAAATACAATTATTCAACAAATGCTTTTTCGAGGCATTAAAAAATGTAGTGTTGCCTTCAAGCTTACATTATGTTCTCGTACATTTTTGGGTTGCGTTGTATGTTCTCGTCCATAATCTTTTTGCGTGTAAATTCCCAGTTCTCCAGTTTTTGCAGAACATCGGGTATGACATCGCGAACACGGAACCGATTTATTTCTGGCCCATCTCGCAGCTCTATGTTGGTCTTGAAATTGTAGTTGGGAGTGTAGCCGTGGATTTTGAGAAAGTGATCGAAATAGAAGGGAACGATCTGTTCCTGCATTGTGTCGACAATCATCAATGAGTCGCGGGCGAATGTATCACCGGGATCGTCTGCCTCTTTGAAAGCGCGTACGAAAAATTTGGTGTGCTCTGAGACAACCACTGGCGGAATGGGTTGTTCTTTCACTGGCTTTTTTAGGAATAGGCGAGGGAGGCGACCCACGCGCTTTGGCGGCTTATAGGGGGGCTCCAAATTGCGCTTCACTTTCTTCATTTCCATCTCAATGCGCCTTTCCACTTGGTAGGCCTGAGCAGAGAGCTTCTCCAGGTAGCGGCGACGTTTCCGTAGATTTCCTTCTATAGTTCTTACTTTTGCAATATCCATATGCTCGAACTTGCCCAGAATTTCCATGACCACATCACTAATAGCGGCTACCATGTCTGCGGGATTAGCCATGCCGTCACCTGAACCACGAACTGTGTTCGGAACGATTCGGCGCCATACCTCGGCAATGATAGATCGGTGTTTGTTGAACTCATCGTCAGCAAAAGATTGTTCGATGGGCTTGTCCAAAAAACTATACACACGCGCCTCCATTTCAATTGCGCGATCCTCCATGAAGTATTTCTTGGCTGACTTGCGCGATACGTACTCTTGTTTCTCTTTCAGATCCTTGGCGCACCAATCGATAAATGTTTCGAGGCGGCCCTGCAGTTCTGTGTGAATAGATAGCGTAAAGTGCATCTCAAGCAATAGAACGAAGGTCTTATTTTTGAGATTCTCAATGCCCAACAAAAAGCTATCTGCGTCTGGAAAAACCTGTAAAATAGGATGCAGATTTTGCATATATACATCATAATAAAATGCCCGTATGGCCCAAGCATCATCCTTGTCACGAACGCGTATATTAACGATTGAACGTTTGGCTATAGATTGGTCATAGGGCTCAAGTTCAAATTCGCCTTCCTCTTCCTCTAGTTCTATCTCCTGCTCCTCAAGCCCTTCTTCGATTTCATTTGTCTTAGTTATAGGAACACGGTGAATCCAATCGTTTTCCATTCGCCATTCCTGATCTCCTAATAAATAATGGAAGTTTTGGAGCATAATGCAGCGTATCCAATGACCTTCAATGAAAACTATGTCCATGTTCAGCATCATAAGCTCACGCTCCAGGTCTCGGTGCTGCCTCTTCAGAATGTCGGTGGTCTCGTAGTACTTTTTCACCTGGTATACCATAGACATTGCCGCATTGTACTCTTTCTTCTCCCACTTTGCAAAGAGTCCCTCGTAGAGAAATTTGGTTTTATTCATGTCCTCCCAGTGATTATCGTTCATTCGATCGTATATCTTCATGCGCACCATCTGGCCTTGAATCAGTAGTGACTCGTACTTTAATCGCATGGCATCCTTAAGTAACTCAATACCCGACTTAAAGTTGAATGTCTTGACAGTAGCACGGCTCTTGAGCTCGTCGATATAGTTCTCGTCCAGATCTGTAATTACTGCGCCATAGTATTTTCGATTGCCAGTCCCTAAAAGCGTGTTTCGGACATCAGGAACTGGAACCTCTAGACGTAGACGCAAGCCGTTTCTTAAGCGCGTGTTGAAGGTAAAGAACGTATCTTTTGGACCCAATAGACTTGCTTGCTCTTTGTGTTGCCCTGAGAACGGAAGTAGACGATATGGATTGGCATCTTCAGCCTCTGCGTCGATAACTTCCGCCTGAAATCGCGAACGATGTAGCTCCTCAAAGGGCACCAATGGTTTACGAATGTAGTCAAGGGGTAGCTTTGTTTTTCCGTCAATAAGTAAAAAACTTCCACTATCGGCCGTCAAATTCGTGCAGTCTGAGCTGCTCAACGAAGTGAGGCACTCTTCAATGCTCTTTAAGTCCTCCTCAAGATCGGCCACAATGGCTTTGCGATCTACAAGCAGCCGCTCCTCGCCTGGTTCAATGTCCTTAGTCCCGTATACTGCCTCCCGGGTTTCGCGAAGAAACTCAATATACTTTCGACGGCCTGGAAAGTCCAGCTTTGCTAACTCCTTTGGGTCGCGAGAATGAAAAATAAAGTCGTAGGTGTGACACAAGTCCTGAACCATCTCTCCTGCGGTCGCCTTCACATCACTTCTGGTGGTTGCCAAGTGTTCGGCTATCATTTTATCGAAGTCGTGTTCCTGTTTTGTAAGGTCGACATTTAAATACTTTTTGCACGGCGGATTCGCTTTGATGAACTGTATTGCATCCTTTTTTACTTTCTTATGGGGCCGCGTAATTTCTGGATACACTGTTTTCGTCTGATAATGAACATGGACGGTTTTCGAGTGCGTTGGATGCCAGTGGTCGTGGTGGTGGCGCGCCTCAAACATATGCGTGTAGGGCCGTTTTTTGGAGCGCACATTAGCAAACTCTATTTTATCCGGCACCAGTTTCTCTAGCATTGGCATGCCCGAGGTCTTAATAGCCTCGTGAAACTGAGCCGAGGGCACTCGTTCGGTTTCGTAGTCGCGCCGGCGATGAGGGTTCTGAACAAATGTTTTCTCTCGAAATTTGGGTGCTGGCATGTTGCCCCGTTTTTCGATGGGAACACGCTCGCCTCCAGGCAAACGGATATCCTGCTGTGATTGGGGTACGCTAGAGTCTGCCATGTTGTATTCTGGTTCGGGCGTGGGTACCCAGTCCGGATCAAAATCTTCCCCTTGTTGGTCACATGGTGACTGCATTTCGTCCTTAATTGTGTCTACACATGGCAGACCCATTAGCTGCATGCGCGCCATTTTCTCCTTGTGATGTTGTGCCTCTTCGATTTTTCGTTTGATCTCTATATATTCTTCTGTTGTGTTCACTTTGGAAGTGTCTACCTCTTCTTCATGAGTGTCGTACAAATTTTGTAATGGTTTCTCGGGAAATACATAGCGAATCAAGTTAAACTTCTTCACGTTATACTTCAGTTTGGGCTTTACAAACTTAAGATTCTTCCGTAGCTGGCGGTGGTAGTGCAGGCCGAGATCCTGCGAGATGAATTCATGCACTGCACTCTTTTTGTCGGACCGTTCCTTAATTATTGGGACTGGTGGGAAGAGGTTCAAGTTTGGATCATCCGGATCCCGAACTTTAATGATCCCTGCTTCCACGTCTAATTTGATCGGCTGTTTCTTCGGTGCAAGCTGGTTAAGCCATTCTTCGCGTGTAAGGCAGCCTTTCACAGTCCGCTGGCCTTGCATGATCTGGTGGCGATGAAGCTTACCTCGCAGATAGTCGCCATGCTTGAAATGAAAGCCTCGTAATTGAAAATAATCACCCTTTTTTCCAACATCTAAGTAGTCTTCGTCGTCACTGCTCTGCTCACTGGGAGTAGAGCCGACACTTTCATTTATTGAGCCCTCACATGCCAGTTTAAGCTCCGCATCTGGGAATTTTTTGAGTTTACCGGTTCGCTCCAAGAAGAACTGCTGCTTCACGTAAGCCTTGTCACGCCTAATACAGTTCTCTTTGTGCATTATTTTTTTAAGGCGGTTCGTTTCTGCGATAGTTTTGGGAAAGAATTTTCGCTTGCGTACAACCTGTTTGATCTCAACGTGTTTGCGGAAGCTGCGTTCAATAGCATCGTCAATAATTGCAACATCGTTTCGCAAGTCCATTTCTGCCACATTACGGGCCTCAGTTTCTCTAGCGGCGGCCTCTTGCTTTTTTCGGAGCTGTTCTTGGTCGGCTGTGCGCTGTTTATTGCGCAGATAAATATCTTTGTAGCGGGCCGCCCGACGATTTTGCTCCTCCTTGATCTTTTGCTTGTTAGCTGGCTTGTCTACGCAGCGGTAAAGCTCGCTCAGCCGCGGCGACTTTACAGGTGTCTCTTCAACTAATGGTTCGTCCTTTATTTTGGTTGCAAAGGCTGGGGGTATAGCCAGTCGTTCCTTTTTAAGTTCTTCTTCTACCGCACCTTGTGTTTGCTGCTTAACACGACGTCGATCCATGTAACGTGTGACCCGCCAGTAGACCAATTGGTTTTGTGCCTCCTGTTCATCCTGCTGGTAGTTAATCTTGTAGTCCATGCCCTGAAAGTCAAGATTAAGTGGATTCTCCAAATCGATAACTTCGCACAGATAAGAGTCCGATTTTTCCGATTTGGTTTCCCCGCACACATTGTCCGCTTGCTCGACAGTTTCGGTTATTAATTTATACGCTTGGTGCTTGTTTAGAGTCTTATGGCGCAGCGCCTGCGGGTTCGTTAGGCAATGAGTCTTACGAGGATCCTGGGTGAGGAAGAACTTCTGCCGCTGTGCTGAATACTTAGCTAGCTGCTCGTAGTTTTCCGGACAAACGCCAATATGAGACTTCGGGGCGCCGGCAACATAGCTCCCAGGGCAGGGCTTAGCCCACTCTTCACTCTTGAAATGGGATCCTAAATCAGACTGCTTATGCTGCGAGTCAATCATTTCATCTGATTGAACAAATCCTTCAAGGCGCGCAGAGAGGCGCTCTGATTCCCGTTGGCTGGCACTACCTGACCCATCTATACTATCCGACGAGGTGCTAGTACATTTACCTTTACGAAACTTAACCGTCTCGATGCCATTGCGGAAATGTGAGTTGCTTGAGCTTTCAAAGTCAACGGCAGTTTTTTCCGTAACCAACCCCTTCCCGCAGTCGTCTCGTTTGTGTAAATCCGTGCGCTTAATGTTCACATCAGGAAACTCTAGGTTTTGTACAGTCAATTGAAGATTTGAGCGAGTTCCAGAGAAATTTAAATTCTTGAATTGCTTTGTTGTGCTCTCCTGCTTCGTGTAGGTATCGGTATGCTTCTTCGGCGGGCACACCCTTGTTTTCTTGTTCAATCCGAACTGAGCTGTTGAATATTGTCATTAACAGAATGCAATCGAAGTAACATGTAATCCTATTACCGGGTCTGGAGACATTTTGCAAATTGCCGCTTGCCTGTGTGGCTGGCTTCGTACCAAGTGGTGTTTTATTTGAGTTAGAAGAATCTCTAATGCGCTGGTCTGGTCGGGCAGGGCGAGATAAGTTCGTCATCTTTAGTCTAGAGTTAAAAAAAAATAAATTACAAGGATTCGAAGAAAAATTGTGTATGATGTAAATTTCGACGGCAAAGTCAGTATGTTGTATCTGCCATTAGCAAGTGAAACGTCCCTAAAATATCATATACTACTTATTTAGATTTGTATAAATGATAAATGTATGCTTTAGCTTTTATTATTACTATTACTAAGTTATCTTCAAAGGGACAAGAAAACAAAATTTTAGTTTCTGTCTTAAATATTATAAAAGATTTTCTTAACTTAAATATGTAAATTCGTAATCAACTTCAAAACTTAAAACAATTAAGAAAAAATGATTTGCGAAATTAAACTTTGAGGTGTATCTCTATTTAAATTCCAACAACAAACTAATTTAACTAATTAAATTAAATTCATAGTTTACTAAGTGGATCAAACAAACCATGCTGAATTAAACGTGAGGTACTTATTCAACTAATTTATTGGATATTAACGCTTTTTAAAAATTTGTTGATTTCGTGTTTGGAAGTTGGGACAATGCATTATATATAACCGAGTATACGCCAAGTCTCGCAAGTGTTAGGTTACGGACACCCTTTTTTAAGCTTATTCTGCTGATGGATTCATTGTATTGTTGTGTCCTTTGTTTTCGGTGCCTCATTTCTTATTTCTTTTGCAGTGACCGCTGCTATTTCATCTGTCAGTTGCAGCTGCGGAGCAGTGCTGACAAATGTCGACACTTTCCCAAATCCAACTGTGCATTGCAATCACCCAGTCGCCCAGTTGCTGACCTTTACCGCCATGCCATGTACAGCTTCCTGTCACCTGACCTTCCAGGGAAATGCAATATTTTTACTCGCTTTGCATGCTCCTTTAAATTAAAGCTTGAATGTAGCAAGACCTTCGGGGCTAAGTCAATGCCTTGCAGACAAGTTGGCTATAAGCAGCCACAACGCACATAAATAAGAATACACATGAACATAAAAAGTTCAACGGCAGTTGAACTGCGACCCGCTGTTTTATGAGTGTACCCCAACGCTCTCGCCTCCCTGCTGTCCGCACCCCCTTTATCTAAGCGAGGGCAATAATATTCAGCATTTTTCACTATTAACATAAGCCGTAAAAACGCAACTGCCGTTGGATCGGGATTGAGTTTGGGCTAGGACTTGGGCTTGGGCTCGGGCTCGGGCCCTGGCTTTGAAGCGTTGCGCATACGCGGCCAATAAACCGGGCTGATAAAATGTTGTTCGTGGTTGGAAGTTTATCACATGTGGCCTGCGCCAATGCAACCTTGAATGACTATGACTGGCGAACGGCTTTAAAAAAATGGGAGAATGAGCTTTGTGGAGGAGATGCTTAACTGAGGACATTGGCGCTTTGAGCTACTGCTTTGCAAATTCACGTTTAATTAAGTTTACGCCGTGTTGCACTCGAAAAGAACGTTATTAATTAAATTCCTTTGCACATTAAGTCGCCGGGCGCGCACAGTCAACACTTGTTTGCCCATGCGCTGACACCGACGACAGCAGCAAACAAGCTAACAAGGATATCAACAGGGGCAATGCGGATGATGACGGCGTGTCAAACCAAAAACTTTGTGTCAACAATCGGAATATTAACGACCAACTAATGAATGTTTGAGTTTCTCTGAATCGCTCAACTGTATGGTTGGATGTATATATATGATGCGAATCACTTCAAGGAACCAGCTCCCGATGTTCACTCTTGGATTTGGTTGGATTTTGGTTGTTTTAAATCTCATTTCGTACATCTTCATATTTTTGCTGTTTACTCGAGTGTATATTTTTACTCACCTGAAAAGCCACAATTGTTTAAAAATGTTTAATTTTGTACTCTTTTTCTCAAACAGCAATTGAAGATGCAATCAGTATTATTCAATTGAGAACAAAATAGCTTAAAAAATTTACTATGTCGATTGAAACGAAGAAGTTTTTACAACAAAAATTTGATTCTTCTTTTGGGTTTGTTTCAGCAACATTTTTTAACTTCTTTAAAAATATATTATTAAAAAATCCAACCATTTATTACAGTTAAAAATAAAGATTTCAATGCAATTGGGGTGTGGGTTTAAATTTCTATCTAATAATATGGGCGCCGCTGGCGTCGCAAATCTGGTTCGTTGTGTAATATTATTCGCATTCGCATTTAAGTTAAAACTCACTAAGTCCCCATTAACAAAGGGCGTCACAGAATAAGTTCGCAATATTGAGCAGACCGCGTAATCCTTCTGTAGACTTACTCAGTCTGTTAGCTGTGAGTTGCGTAAAAGCGGTTTCTGCCCAGAGCGACACCAACAACTAAAAGATAAATTGAAAAGCTTATTAAATGTTTGCTGTAAACGACACGCTAACGCTCAGCGTTTAGGAGAGTAGGAAAAGAGTACAGGAGGCAAGGATAACATCAAAGCGAACTCAACACAAAGACTCCGCCTGTCACTTTACGCCTTTATTTGAAAATTCTGCTTTTGGCTTTTTGTAGCTCATAGCTAGGTAGCCAGGCAACAATATATCAAGACATCAATACACATCTTCAGACAGCGTGCAATTATTCATGAGGTACCATTCTTTCCCTTTCTCAGCTTTTCTTGGCTTTGCTCAGCAGGTCTGTCTAGTCGAAAATCCTTCTAAATTTGGACATGGGTCGACCAAATAAAAAGCGACACCAGTCCAGTCTTTTTATTAGCGAGTGGCTTTATGTACAAACTTCAAAGGGCAAATAGCAGGCAGTTTCTGGGCCTTATGATACATTCTTGCTTTGTAAATATTGGCTTCAAATGATCTAATCGCATCTGTAGAAGCCAAGTGCTTCAACGTTTTCAATATAGGCATTTATCAGTTAAAGCGACTGTCGAACGCTAAGTCTGGCAGAGTGCGTGACGTCAGCTGCCATTTGGACACACACACATATGCCCATGCAAATCCCTGACAGACGCACGAAAATAAATCGACTTTCAGTCACATGTGGCACCATACTCAGCTCAAAGCTGAGCTGCTTATTGCCTGTTGACAAACAAGAGGAAGGGCAACGGGATCGAGGTCTAATCCGAATGCAGTGCCAGTATTCTAGTTCTTTCCACAGGCGAAGCAGCGAAACTGAAAAATTCTAAAAGCTGGAGTGCCTTGCGCTCTGTTCCCGGTATTTTAAAAATCTTCGCCCCCAAACAAACTCCGGAAAACGAATGCGATAGGCGATAGTGTAGTAACTAAAATGTTTTCTGTCGCTAACACATCTTGTTTCAAGAAATTGGTGAAATTTCAAAAAAAAAACTCATCAATCAATTAAAGATAGCGATTTTGGACCAATCTTTACCAATGTTTACAATTCCACATGCAACGTTTTGTATCCCTATCAATTAATCAACATACCTCGATACTCTTTCAGACAAACGGACAGACACACATACACGTATGAATCGAAACTCTGCCACTTAACGTTCGTAAGGATGTAGCGCATATTTCTGAAATCATTCGCAGTGTAATTTGCATTTACATCTCGCTAGGTTTTGTCAACCAGCGCCATTACCATCACCATCCCACATTGGAGGATGCTACGCACTTTGCATTATTAATGGCGTCGTGTTTTCACCATCCATCCAAAGATGGAACGCACAAATATTAGTTACATAGAAGTATGATACGAACACACTCTCTATCTCTCTGTATATGTGGATGTGTGTGTGTGTGTGTGTGTTTGTACTAAAAATGCGTTGCCTATTTGCTTCTGCACTTTTACGATTTGATACAAATTTTCCAATTTTGGCTGTGAATATTTTTTAATCAAGTAATAGCTGCACGCTCAGACACATTTATGTCTGCTCACACCCTTAAGCACTCAAACACACATAGATACCTGCTCGGAATATACGAGGGTATACAAATCAGACCAGTACGTGCTGCCTATACAATTCCTTTGAATATGTGGATAAAGTTTTAAAAAATAAACGTTTGCAAATGGAACATGCACAAAGTCAAAGCTCAGAGCCTAAGCTTCTTTTCAACTAGCAGAAATTCGTATAATTATTTCAATATTTATTTAAGAAAACTATCTCTGCCAGTTTTTCACTCTCAGCTATACAAAAGTATTTTTGAAATTTTAACATTCTTTAAACAAACCAGTATTTATTTGTTAAGGCTATGAAACTTCCCATTTTTAATTCTGAATCAGATATGCACGCCATTTAAGTGCACCCTAAATTTGTACTCTAACCTCATTTGGGTAAGAACATACTCGAAAACCCCTTTAATTTAGCAGGCGTTCTTAAAAAATTCAAAACGATGTCATTCGAAATCAATTGAAAGTTTTCATTTAACGCACAGACCTCGTACTGTAAACAACAAAGCAAGGTGAGCAAAATTTTTAAAATTATTTTTTGGAGAAAATATTTAGGTTAACCTTTGGAATTATTTCAAATCATAAATATTGCAGCACTGCCTCATTCAAAATAAATTTCTAAACTACGTACCACCCAGTGGATGATTTCAAAAGCTGTCTGAGAAAATGGACAAACGATATTTGAACTGCTTGCTGATTTTGTGCTGTGAGTCGTATTCCTATTTAATTGTATCAGAGTTTTTTTCCAATAGCGTTTTTTATAGGCGGCATAATGCTGCTTCAGCCCGAAAGTTGTCATGCATTGCGGATTAAACGTACGCCAACCCAAGTCAGCCCGTCTACAGCGACTGATGCTGTCGTAGCACCAGAAGGAAACGAATTGTCTAAGAGCAGCACGAACAGCCCATTGGCTAAAGTGGAATTAGTTAAAGGTAACACATAACTCGTCGCTCTATTACTTATGCGGTAATCTACAAAATTCTGCCTTTTAACAGCTACTAGCGTACTCATGGCTAAGTCTCCGTACGCTGCTGCTTCAAATACTGGCAATAGTGAATCTATTAAATCTTTTAAGGACAGTGTCCAGCCTAGCTCGCAAGGAAAGAGCGTGGCTGCGACTGCCACTAGTGGAGTCTCAGTAGTTCCAGCTGCTATAGGCCTTTCAGCCACATCAGCTACTTCAGCTCCCAATACCTTGGCCGCCAATGCTCCCAAGGCTTTATCTCCTGCGGAGCCACAGCAGTCCCCACCTTTTGCTCCAAAAATAGATGTAGCGGAGGAAGCCTTGTTGGATGCAGGATCTTTGATCGATCTTTCGCGTATGCATCGATCTAAACGACGCATGTCGTTTATAGACGATAGTCTGCCAGCGTTGGCTCAGCTGCCAATCTTCGCACCGTCGCGCATCCAGCGCCGTCGCCGCCACCATGCCGCTGCACCCGCAGCTCCACCCTATATGTATTACAACAAGATGATGTCGCCGGACGGCAAGCACGAGCTGAAGGAATTCGAATTGGTTGCTCCCAACATGATGATTGAAAGCATGCAGCAGGAATTAAACTATGGACCAGAGCTGATGTCTCTGCCGCTTCCACTGACTTTAGCTGCTCAAGATTTGGGCGGCGTATTAGTTGTCAATGCCGATAAGGGTTTTATAGAGCCCTCACATGCTCATGCCCATGCCGCCAGACACCATGCAAAGCACAAGGCGCCCGGAGCATCTACAGCTTTGGCCACACCCATGCTTTATATGCTACAGCAGCTATTACAGCAACCTCTAGAGGCCCTACCGATGGCCGAGACATCCAATGATCTTGACGGGGACAAGCAGACCCCATTAGGTGATTCCAAATCGTCGCATCGTCACCAAGACACTCCCCTATACCAATTCATTGACCACGCCGTTGACATGGCACTGCGCAACAACCATGAAACCATTGAGCATCTACTGATGGATGGACCAGCCGACAAGCAGCAGGGAAAAGAGCAGAGTGAGATGTCGAAAGGGCAGCATAAGGACATTAAGAAGAAAAAGGAATTGGAGACGCTGAAATCAAAGTCAAAGGAAGCAGCTGAACCGACAAATAACGAAGACGCTCTAGTAGTCAGCTGTCCCATACACCACGAGCATCATACCGACAAAAACGGAGGGGTAGTCGATGATGATATCGTTGTGGTCAACGAGTGTCACATTGTCTGAGCAGTATTAATAACTGAAAGGGTACACCTGAGAGTAGGCTGTTACTAATAGGAAATTAATTACAAGCTTTTGAGGTAACAATTAAGTTTTCTTTTGGTTTGAGTGAGCGAAGGTGCACAAAATTATATCCGATTTTAAATGATTAGTAGTTTGGTTGGGATTTAAATATTTGTAAGGTAAAATTAAGGTTTTGTTAATTTATTTTTCAAATTTGGGTTTCGATTTAAGTTTTGTCAGATTTATTAGAATAACCATGTTTGTATGCAAAATTTTAGAACGGGGTGTGAAGAAAACGAAAATCACAACAATTTAGAACAAGCTTTAAATCATTTATTTGTTTAAATATACTGCTATTTTAAAGTATCTTTTGTCACACATATAATAGCCATGATTGTAAGCAAAATTTCGAAACGGGGTCTAAACAAACACAAAAACAACAATTTAAAATAAACTACAAAAAAACGCAAATATTTAAACAATTATTTAATTGTAATGTTCCTTGTAACTGTTTGTAAACTATTCTCAAATTTAATCTAAACCTTCTTAGCATCGCTTCGTTTCCAGCCGCCAGATGTTTCCGAGTCCTAAAGGATATATTAATAAACTATATAGTATATGTATGTAGTTATCGAGTTTCCACATTAAAAGAGCGACCAACTTCAAGTTGGATTCATTAGAAAATCGATTTTGTTTTCTCACCTTGACGCTTTCAGCAATTTGCGCGCTTTTCCGAGCATGTCATGGGAACGTCGAGCAAAATTGATATGCCTAAGGCACCGGCAGTGCCATTTAAGCAAACAAATCTAAATGCTCGCACTTCACACGCACACGCACAAAAAGGATATACACGCCTGCCTAGAAGACTTCCTTCGACTGGTTGGTCTTGAAGCACATTTGCTAAATGCTGCTAATTTCTTATACAATAAAACTAATGTAAATTGCCACTTGACGCTTGCCACGTATGTATTACATACACGTATGTATGTGTGTGTGTGTGTGTGTGTTTGTGTGGGCATATATGTGCATGTGGCACATAGACATTAAATGGAGCACATAATGTGCAAAAGTCAGAAGAGCAGTGAAAGACAAACTAACCAAACGCTAGCGAGTGTCAAGGGTGTTTGGCTAGGATATAAATACAAATTTGTTTTACAAATGTATGCAAGGCGGTATGTGAATGGAGCGGGGAGTTTATGTATGTCTATGGGTTTGTGTGTATGTGTGTTCTAACTCTAGTTATATGCTTTCTTAGAGTATATAAGTGCATACAAATACACTTGGGCAAGCCATAATGTGTATACACATTCCTTCAAATACGTATAAGTATGTTTGTACGAATCCCTTCCACATAACAGCAGCGCGTGCTTCTGCGTGAGTGTGCGTGTGCGTGTGTGTGTCCGTGTAAGATGTTTCCGTAAAAGCAGAAAAGTGCAACTTGGCATTCGTAAATTGCGTAGCTCTCCTTAGGGTGCTAACTGGAGTGTAAATATGAGTGCAGCAACTCTTGGATGTTTGATTTCCCGTCGCTGCCCATATACTTCTTACTGCATCCTCTATATGTATATTATATACGTATATAATATAGCTACAATACAATATCTATACTTGTGTATTTATTTATTATAAGCGTAAATAATACATGCAGTTGACAGCAACTGGCAATGGCATTGGGGACTGGTGCTCGGTAGCACTTACAATTTTTTGTTCAAGAAGCTGACACTACGAGTGCATTAACTTTTGGCCCCCTTCGAAAGTACTTGTAGCTTTTCGACATTCCTCAATGATACCCATAACAATTGACAGCACACAAATGGCAGCCATTTTCCTTCTGATAACCTTCAGCGCGCCCATTGCTCCCCAACTTCTCAATGGACATTTTGTCAATGGGGAGAGAACACTTTCCACAACAACTCTCGTCAGCTCGCAGTGCAGTAAGTATGTAAATCAAATTAATTTCAATAACAGTGCCTAGTCACAAAAGGTTTGAGGCTAAGCAGTCGCCTGCTAAAGCTACCCATGTACTGCCCCGCTGCTTCAGTGCTCATCAAATAAAATGAAATTTATGTAATTTCATTAAATTCAGCTTTTATTTTATTGCAGAAAACATTTGGAGATGAGCATTGCGTCTGCTACAGTTAGCTTTTGTTAATGTTCTTGTTGGCTGCTTTTAATTTTATAGCTTCATTGCTGTGACGACGACAACGAGAAACGAGAAACGACTTTATGCTGGTTATATCCATAAGCAGGCAATCGGGTAGCTTGGCACAAAACCGCCAAAAGGCAAGCCAACCATGGCCACTGACGACTTGGTACTTCATACTGGGGTCAGTCGACACTGATAACGTTGCGAATGGCCAAGATGAAAACGTATTAAAAAGCAGCAGCTGCGACATCAGCATAGAGTGCTCCCTTCCATTCCTGATCCCTTGTCTTCCCTTCTCAATCCAACTGGCTGTATTTGTAGTAGTTGTAGCCATTGTAATTGTATTTGCTAGAAATTGTTTTCGCTTTGGTTGTCAGTTGTTTGAATGGCAACGTTTTAATCTAGATTTCATAGTCAAAATCCATGGCGGCAGTTGACAGCAAATTCAATTGAATTGTTACCAAGTTAAGTCACTGAGCAATGATGATGTCTATATTACTGCCCTTCTGGCTACATAATATCCAGAGTTCTTCTCAGCCCTTTGATAGCTGCTCTGATAGCAACACTTGTATAACAAATTATTGAACATTAAATAAATAAAATTAACTTAAACACTGCAATAAGTATCTATTGAATTGACACTCACTTGTAGACTTAAAATTGTAGACAAGCTTATCCTTCATAATATGGGCGTTTGCAAATGCTAGCCGTCTGAGCAAAATCATTGACTTTTGTATTCAATTTCTTCAGAAATATGTATTTTTTAGTAGACAGATAAAAATTTCTTGAATTTACTTGGACTTTTTTGTGGTAAATTACATTTTTTTCGCTTACATAAAACTCTTGTAAATGAAAAAGAAAATAATACTTAAAAGCACTTCATCATGAATTTAGGATAAATAGGTGGTCTACATTTTTCAAAAACTTCCTTTTTATACCCTGTACCCGTAGGGATAAAAAGGGTATATTAGGTTTGTGCAAAGAATGTAACATGCAGTACGAAGAATCTCCGACCCCATTAAGTATATATATTCTGAATCAGCATGTCCGTCTGTTCGTCCGTCCGTCTGGATGAACTCAAGGATCTCAGAAACTATAAAAGCTAGAATAACCAAAGTTGGTATCCAGATTCTCCTATTTCTTTTGTTTTAATTTTCACCCCGTCAATAGCGTCCACATTTCAAATGTACCTAAACCAAACTTCGCACACATAATTAGCATATAATTATCTACTGTTGTTTAATTTTATTCAATTCGGTCAATTTTAAGAAAAGTTATTAGCGAAACAAATTCTCGCCAGTAGAACACCCCCAAACTGCAGCAACAAGTTCGCTCTTCTTCTTCCTCGTTTTGCTGATGCTATGGGCGCATATACCTCATTGTCGGAAGTTTACAGGGTATTTCACTGTCGGGCTGGCTCGACTGAAGCGTTCTCTCTTGTTTTATATTAATTTATACTTCGAAGATAAGCCCGCAATAAACCTATATATTCGATTGAGTGCTGATGACAAACGTTTCATATTCAGAGTTGTTTTTTACATTAAATTATCATTCATATTCATATCCACATGTAAATCAACAAATTAATGGGTTATCCCTTGTAAAGAACATTTCTTTCCATCAAATCAAGCTGAATGTGAGGCACTTTTAAGTAGACCCAAACAATGTCATGTCATGTAGTTGTCATTTCCCTTACGGTTGTCATACATGACGTATGAGTGATATATGTTTTCTCACTTAGCTTTAAATTATCGTCCATTATATATACATTCAATTACATGTTGACAGTACGGTGCAGAAAAATAATAGTTCTTTTATCTGTGGCGAATGAATTGAGCAAATAAATATAAGAAGACACTGAAAAGGAAAAACACTAGAATACGCTTAGTTTATTTATCTTGGAACGTGCGATAAAGGCAACCATTGAAACACAAATTCAATAACAAATAAACAAGGGGATTGCAAATGCAAATGCAGAAAGTGTGGCACACATGAAAGCGGCTTAAATGCTATACTGGCCATTCAAATTGTCAACAGCAGAGTGGCGTTTGACCGGCAGCCCGAGCCGTAATAAAATTTATGGTCCGAATGCCCAACAACTGGACTGAACAAATGACTAAGCCACGACTATTCAGTGTGTGTTTGAGGGCGTGAGTGTGTCGGCCTGTGGTTTCTAATTGAGTCATGCGAGTCAGTTGTTGCTATTGCTGTTTATTGTTGGCTTGTTTCTTAGTCAAATTTATTTCGACGCTTGTTGCGGGTGCCAAAGCCGCAACGGGGCAGGCCAGTATGTGCGACAACTTTTACAAGTACAACATTGCTGTCAGAGATACTTTATGTGCAAATTTCGGTTAGGCAGAGTACACACAACATACATAGGCAGTGGGATGCCAAACGAGATGGCTTGAGTCAAACTGTCAGTTGGCAAGTCATTTGCATGCACGCTGCAAATACCAAATGCATGACAAACAGCACTGAAAAGCCCTGCCTCTCGAAAACAACTAGAAACAAGCAACTCGACAACAACAATCTGACCGCCTGTTAGCATATAAATCACTTTGTAAAAGACAAATTGAAAGCTGTTGCAAGTCCTGTGGCTGCCCTTGCCCCTCGCATAGAATACAAGCACGATGGAAAGAGCGACTAGTTGATGAATCTACCAGGTGTATTGACAAATTTCATTCAGAGGAGGGAGCTGAGCTCCAAACAATCGAGGCACTTAATGATGACCAACAGCAACAATTAAACATGCTGCAACGTCTATTAACTAAACTTTGCCATTTGAATTATCTGCGCAAGCATACGAGCTCTCCTCCGTTTTCTGCCAAGCAACTACAATGGCATTCGGCCAACAATAGCATTGAGTATTTACATAACACAGCATCAACTAAAGCTCTCAGACATGTACATATGTGTCATCAGTTGAAGGTAGAATCAGGATCTATAAGTAATTGATTCTCAATAAGCAACCATAAGCAGAAGATATCTTAAGATGATTCCTGAAAGTGATAGTTCATTGAAAATATTTTTAATTATAATATTCAACTGCACAATTTTCAATTTCAAAAATATTTATAAGTGCTTATTATGCCATTTAATTGTATTTTTATTTAAGTGTCAGAACAAGTGTGTCAAGAATAAGTTAATTGCTATTTTTTTAAATGTAATTTAAAAACAAAACATTTAGTTAATTGAAAATAAGGCTAAACTCTCAAGTACAAGTACAAACAAACGGTCTGCCACTTCTCCTTCTGTGATTTACATATAAATATCAATAGGGTTATATGTCTGCACAATTGTGCAAAAAGAAAGAAATTGTACTTGTATATTGCTCCACGTATTTGCTTTTAGTGTGTATTTGCTGCGCTTTGAGGGCATTGGCGTTGTTGAGCACCTATTTGCAATTTGAAATCTGATGCGTGTTTACTAATTGGATAAGAGCTCTTACATTGTGTACGTATATGACCCAGAAGAGTGACTGTTATTTACTTTATTATTTTTTCGAGCTTATATCACAACTGATGAGATGTTGGAACAGGTGGATGGTAGTTTGCCGCCTACTTGACTCGCCCACTTGAAAAATAATTGCGTTTAATTCCGATTAGCTGCAAGTGAACTCAGCTATTCTCGTAAGTACGCTTAAGCACATAATGCAGTTAAATTGAATATCCGCTTAGCGTAAGCTTTGGCATGTCTTGTGTGGCAATCAATTAGCCGCCCTTACGGCACTTTGCCGTTCATTAATTTTCGACATCGTCGAAAGAAATGCGTTGTCATTACAATAAAAATATCATTTGGCTGCAAAAGCAAAGGGACTGAATAGCGAGCATAGTCATGTAGCCATGTGCATCATTTAATCCATTTTGTATGGTCAAGCACGCTCATGTAACTAAAATGGCGCTGCCTTTCCTCTGGGTGGCTGGCCAGCTAGTCAAAGCGCAACGCGACCCACTTAATGTTGATAAACTCAATGAAAAAATATGTCAAGTTTTTGCAAGACAACGCAAGCGGAAAGAGGACAGAAACTTTGCCACTCGACTCGCGTCCAACCGAACATCATTTGATGACCACAGCTGCCCCATCTCGTTTCCCATCTAAGACTAAGTCGCGCTAGTAGAAGTTGGCTCGTAACTTTGCTTTGGCCAGGCAGCGCGCTAAGTGCATTTTAATTTGTCTTTCAAGAAGCGGATGATGCTGGTCGCTGAATCTCAAGCACATTACGACAAATTAAATTTCTGAACGCTCTCGCCCTTTTCTCTTCTTTGAAAGAGCTCCAATTTCCGCGCTGAACCACCGGTCTGGTCTGGCTGGTCAGGTGAGTATGCATAAACTTAAATGGCCGCTGACTGTTGCCCCATTCAAGGCGCGTCCGTGTCAGTGGCCATAAACTGCGCTCCATTTGTATGAGTCAAGGGTCCGACCTAGATGTACACGTAAGCTATGAAATGCAATTATGTCAGGCAAACCCAACGGAAGGCCTTAAATTTATGCAATTATCAGCAACACTGACCGTGCATTGTTTCCCCACACTTTACCATCATCTTTATAGCCTGCACCAAACAAATATTGCATAACAGAGATCGACCAGCAGTCGCTGCCTCTATGCCGGGCCAAAAATAAATTTAGCTAAAAATTAATTACTTTGCCATTAACATTACAGTTCGCGCGCGCGCTCAAATATTTTTGATTGAATTTTCATATTTGTTGTTTACTTTTCGTTGGCATCTGTGCTCGCGCGCTTGCCATAAAATTTCCAAATTGACTTTGACATACATTGTGATTAATAACCATGACAGATGCTTAATTGAAAACTGCCAGAATTCGAAATTATTTGGCGTATATACGAGTAGTAGTATGGTACGTGCCGCCAATGTGCGAGTGCCCGTCTAATGCACATGCTGCCAAGTGGACTACTTACATATATACACAGTTTTCCAAATACTTGCCGCTTGGGCGCCTGGCTTCTATGCCTCAACAATTGCGCCTGCGGTGTATTAGTCCACAGCCACCGGGGGAAATATAATTATTATTTTGTCCAACCAATTTTGTAATTGGGCCAATTACTAGCTAGTATAGGCAGTAGGGAATGCGAGAGAACTAGAAGGAGAGAAGAAGAAATGAAGGCAGCGGGTGCAGCAGAAATAAAAAAATGCTTTAATTTTGTAAGCCACTTGCATATTTAATTAAATAAGTTTATAAAAATGTTTTGATGCAACATTTGTAGTTATTTTGAGCCGTCGAGAGCTTATATATATTGATTTGATTACGAAAATTACTAATAGAAAGAAAAAGTCTTGCCTATTGCCTTGTTCACTACTTACAAATTTCAAATTTAATACTTGCACACATTTTAGTTGCAATAAATTCGGAATAATTTCCAAAGGTCAACTTTACAATTTCGATCTGAATGTCAGAGCTTTAATTCCATTGCCATTTTGTCTAATGCCAAATGGAACTCGATACAGCTCTAGACATAGGAGTATGTGAATGCGACTTATTAAATCAGATTATAAAAGCTTATGCCAAAACATACATTGTTTGAAAGCAATGATTTTCCATGAAAAGCGGCACAAAATAATATTTGGTTTATTCAACGTGTAGGAAGTGAGCAATCTTTTAAATATACTATATATAGACAAATAAAGCTATGACCAAATCTTCATTACGGATAAAATAATGCACTGGCTGTCTACGATGAAATAAGTCGTAGTCGCAATCAAATATTTAGTTGGGACAACGTCAACTAAGTACTTAGCTATATTCCATTTTTAACAATAACTTTGCATTGTTTTTGCTGCCATGTTGAATGCAAATACATTTAACATTTGCCAATTTATAGGTAAAGCATTTTATTTTCCACCTTGTTTAATTCTATAGTGAGTCAGCCTGCAATTTGGCCATTGTACGAGAGTTCAGTTTTACATAAAGCCACACTTAACAGAGTTTAAATGTTTATTCTCAGTGAAATTCTTGCTGAAGTTTGGTTTCCCCTCTAATGTTTTCATAGAATCTTATTGCGTTAACGCACATTTTCTTTATTGTGGAAATAGTTATCTTTTATTCTAGTTATTATTTTTGTTGTTGTTGCAATTGTTGGTTTTTGTGCTGCTGTTGCTGTCCCCATGGAGAACGTCACTCTGCCTTTTGTTTGCACTCATACTATATTTGCCTGCAAATTTTGCGAATACAACGACGGAAACAGACATTTGCATATATTGTGGTTGTGCTTGCTGTTCGCTTTCTCTTCTGCTTTTCATTGCAATTCCTTTTTCGTTTGCTGAATTTTTGTGGCTTTTTCTACTGTTAACCGCTCTGTAGTCATAGCCATAGTCATTGCCTTAGTAATGGTGCTGGCCTTCCTTTAATCCCCTCTCTGTGCGTTGCACCCTACGATGAATTTGTCTCGTCTTCTGCACAAAGTGCTGCGGGCCAGTACACGCCCTGGCACTGACAATACTTGCATTGCGGAAGAGTATATACGTATATATGTATATATGTGCGTGTTTTTGTGTGTTTGTGTAACTATGTGGCCATGGCTTAGCCTCTTATCGCATGCATAAGTTGCTGACTGATTGTTGAAAGCATCTTTTAGATACTGCTGAGCTCAATTCGATGAGTTTATTGAGACACCATCAAACGACCTTTTCATTTTATTTGGGGCGAGTTTCTGTTTTGCTAAATGTTATGGCAATCGAATAGCAGCATTTTCCACTTGGCTGCGGAAACAGAGCCTATCCCAACACAAGCACTGATAAGGAGCCCCACGAAGACTTCCTTCAAAATGGCGCTCTTCGATTCGAAGTAAGAGCACAAGTCTACAGTCAGTTCGAAAGCGAAGAGCGAGCCAACAAAAACAGTTGGCGACAGCAGCGCAGCGTAGCACAGGAAACTGCACACGAAATCGTCTGTGAGGCAGTCGTGAACTTCGAAAACGCCGAACGGGCGCTGCTCACACACAACCACTACCGCTCTATAGCCTTATGACGTCGTCATTGCTGCCATTTTAGCAGCCACTGCTCAGTCGGCGTCAACTTCGGCGTCAGCTGTGTGTACGATGCTGCGCCTGGACGCTGCAGCAACAGCAGCAGCAGCGACGACTTGGCTCCGGCTACGCTTGCTGCTGATAAACACTTTTCGTTTATCATCAGTTTGTCGATGGAACTGCGCGCAACTGGACGTTTTTCTCGCTAGCCAGAACTCCAAACGTGTAACCAACAAATTGTCCAGACTGGGTGCTAATGTGTGTGCTTGTGTGAGTGCTGGTCAGGCACAGTGTTTGTCTAAGCTTTGAACAGTTTTGTCGGCGCGCGTGATTGTGCACCCGAAATATTGGCGCGTGTTTTTTGAAGAGAAAATCTGAGAAATTGATTAAAACTCATTTCTGAAAATATATACATATCGTGTGTGAGTTGTGGCTGCAGGGCTGTAAATAATAGCAACAATAATAATTGAAACAACAAACTAGACAGGGTGACAGCACGTGAGTATTTCAAAAATATTTACATTTTGTGCCCAAAAAAAATTGAACAAGAAATGAATAATTTAATATGTAAGATGTAATGCAAAACAAATAAAAAATGCCACAGCCTTTTGTCACAAGACACAAATTCTTCAAGCAACACCTTGTCGAAACTTTTATATACTTTATAAAATTAGGATTCCTGAATGCAAACATATAACAACATCATCGAATACACATAGGTTCAATCCGAACTTTACAAAAACTTTGAACTTTGGCAGAACCAAAAAAAGGATATAAATAAAAAGCAAACAAGTTGTTATTTCATGTGTTATCTATAAGTACATTGAATTGAATTTTCCTGAGTCATGGAAAGCGTTACAGCATAATAAAAACACGAAAAAAATCAAATGAATGAGTGTAGGCAGAAAGACGGCATACTGTATGTGCTGTTATCCTAACTTATAAAACTTGGCTTGAAGTCGCAAATTATGTAAATGCAGAGTTTTTCCTTTTTTTAAATGAATGTAAACAATTTTTTCCGCCATTATGCGCCATCAAGTATGCAAAGATACGTTGCGAAAAAAATGTTGCCCCACAAGCAGGTGTGCAAGCGGATATATGTTCAACAGCTAACTGCTCAGATTTTTGCCTCCTTGATGAATAGCAAGAAACTTGAGTCTATCTTATATGTATGCGTCACCCTTTGCTCGGAAAATCAAGTTTTGGCAGTTCTATGCGCTTAACTTGCTTGTCTCGACCACCGAAGCGAGAACAAGGGTGTGTGTAAGTGTGTTGGTGGGTGTATGTGTGTGCGATAGCCATGACAACTTACTACTATATAGCAAAGTCAAAGTTTCCGTGATGTAATCGTGTTTGCTGTCACTTTAATTAAATTTAAGCGCCCGCCTGCAAAAAGTTGCCACAGTAGCTTAGGCCGAGGAGACATGAAAGCGCACAAGCCGTGCAATATTTAACTTTGACTTTTGCATTCAATTCACGCGCCCCCACTAAAGCATCAAAAAGTTGGCCAGTTCAACGTCTTCGTTTCGCACAAAGTATGTTTGTGGGTGCCAAACACGCCCAACATCTAAACATACTCGTAGCTATTTCATACCTATATACACTGCGAGCCAGTTGAATAGCGCCCCTTTAAAAAGTTTCCAGGCTAAAATTATAATTCCGGAATCTATCAGTTCAACATTATAGCCGCTATAACAATAGGCCAATGCATATTTAATTGTCACTTGTTTGTCATATTTAAACTAAATCGTTTTTATTGTCAATTTTGGATAAGAATATAAAAAAGAATAAAGAATAAAATTGAATAGCTACACATTGAATGATTAATTCGAATTCATCTTATCTATTTAAGTTCAAAGACAAAATAAATACAATTATAATTGATAAATATTCAATAGAGTAATCATTAGTAATCAGGCAGTAATCATTATAATATTTCTGTAAAATTGTGCACTCATAGATTTAGTTACTTTAGTATCAATAGAAGAATATTTGTTTGTTTTGCGTATTATTTGAAGTACCATTTTAAATTGCAGAATTTTTAATTTTTTGTTTTTCCTGTTGAAGTGTGTTACGTTCATAATATTACAAGAAAGGAATGCTAAAGTCGAGCAGGCTCAACTCTTAAATACCCTGTACCACCCCACAAAAAAGTAATTAAATTAATTAAATTAAATTAATTAATTAATTTAATTTAATTAATTAACTAAATTAATTTAATTAATTAACTAAATTAAATATAAAATATTTCATGCATGCATAGATACATTTACATTTACATCAGAATCGTGCCTTATGCGTGTTTGTGTACTTGTACATATGTATGTATGTGTGCATTGGGCCTGGTTATATGGCTATAACTTTCTTTCTGATCATTCTTTCATAATGAAACTTGGTATACGGATATATAATTACTAACCTAATGTGACTACCAAATTTTAGTTCAAAATTCCAAGAATTACGGGAGTTATAGAAAATTGGTAATAGGGGGGGAGTGGGGGGGTGGATCAGAAAAAATGAACAAACTCGTCCTTTCTCGGTCTCAGGAGAATCTGTATACCAAGTTTGGTTATTCTAGCTCTTATACTTTCGGAGATCCTTGCGTTCATACAGACAGACAGACGGACAGACAGACGGACAGACAGACGGACAGACGGTCAGACGGACAGACGGACAGACGGACATGGCTATATCGACTCGGCTTGTCATGCTGATCAAGAATATATATACTTTGTGGGGTCTACCAAGCCTCCTTCTGTGTGTTCCATGTGCACTCGCACAAAACTAATATACCCTTGTACCCTTTGGGTACAGGGTATAAAAATGTTGGCTGTATAGTAAATACATATCGGACTGTAAATATCGTTGCTGTTGGATAATGATCTGAAAGCTAACTTAGGTCCCACGACAAGATTTTTTAATTGATCGCAAAAAGATTAGATATAAATTTTCTATTTTTTTCGTTTCTTGAATAGGAAAAACTAAAACTAATATTGAGTGTAGGGAGTGCGAACCTTTTTTAACGCAATGAAACATAATTCTCAAAATCCCTACAGCGACTGACTTGTGTCTCGATTATTTCTCACAAAGAGAGCATACGAATATCATTCAAAGGACGTGCAGTGTATATGTATATACATATTTGAGCGGAAGTATAAGTTTTGTGCAGAGCTAGACTTATGCTTATATGGGGGAGTAGCATTTTTATTGTAATGCGAAAATCCCAGGCATGCTTTTAGCAGACAAAATATGCACCTCCAGCTAAAAGACCCGAACACTTCTTTTCTTAGAGCGACATTTGCTACTTTTATTTACACATGGTGCGTACCCAAATGTTTACCGCTGGCCCAGACGCTGCCAGCAAATAAGATTAACGTCGTTCGAAAGGCAGACCGGCGCTGCTTACCACTGGCACTGCCGTTACGAAAGTAGTGGATGCCATAAAACTTATGCTGCACACTCACATACACATACACATACACGAATATACAGAGAGACACAAGCCCAGGGACTGAGCCATATGCCGAAGGTGCTTCCCATTCATCACCAAGTGTGTTGAGTTTAAGCCTGGACCCTGAAATGTGCAGCATCTCATATATCGCTCGTATAATGATGGCAACAATGTTTAAAAAGTTGGCGCACTGTCACTTCGGTTGCGTTAGGGGTTTTATTTTGTCCCAGTGTCTCTAATGTAGCCCATGTGTATAATTTGGGTTTTGAAATTTTTTATTGCCTACATTCGGGCGCAGCACTTGGCTCTAGTTTCGTGGGTGTACTGTCGTTTATGGCCGCCAGCTGCGTTTTATGTGCATCCGCTCGTTAAGCCTTTACCGCTGCAGCGGTCATTCCAACCAACAACAACAACAGCAATAATCGGAGCAGACCCGCCCAATATCATCTGATGCGCACGCACATCGCTCTGCCAACGGCAATGGCAATAGCAGCGTCAAATCCGCTCGACTATCAAAACCCGACGTGATTTGGCATAAATTAAACAATTTCCAACATGTTTGTCTTTGTGTTTGTCAAACTCCACCATGCCATGAGCTTCTGCCACTGTTCTTGCTGCCCGCGGCCTAATTAACATCAACAAAAACAACAATAACCACAGCAGGCAGAACGAAATCAGTAAACATACGCCCCGTTGGCCGCTGAGCCGTCGGCCGGCGCAAACAATTTACATATTCATTTAATGTCTTTAAAGTGAGTTAGGTCTTAAGCATTACATTACACAGTATGATTGTGATTTTTGCATTTTAATAACCAAGTCAAGTGACTTTAAGAGAGAGAGACAGCGCCATTTAATGGCGGAAGTGCGCCGACGAAATGGCACGTGCCCTGCGCTTAAAATCCGCTGAAATATTAATGCCATCATTGCTATCGTTTTGGCTCGTAGGGCCTAAAATAGCCAGCGCATATAATGCTGTATTAGCCAGAGAGACGGCAGCTGTATCCAAATATGCTGCAAAGTTTTAAGCAGCTTACATTTTAATTAATTTTTTCACAGGCACACGGTCCAAGACCAAACCAAACAGCATTTTAATTTTAATGCAACAACTGTCGCCATTCGCAGAAATACGAGAACTGCCCCCAAAGAGCAGAGGGAGCAGGGGGAAATGGGAAAACGACACGTGCACTTCAGTGTAAATAAAGAATTTCACTTTGTCGCCGGCACATAAATCTGTCGTTTATATAAAAGAAAAAAAGTAAACTAAAGGTATGGTCTAGCCACACAGTCTTCAGGCTACGGACTTAGAAAAACTTTGTGGAGACAGTATATTAACTTTTAATTTGCTGTGTGCCAAATAAATTAAAGCAACAGGAGCAAAAAGCTTCATGGCTGTACACAAATTAAATACAATAAAATTGTGAACGCATTTGAAAGAAATGAAAGCCAGCCAAAAATATACGCCCAGCAGTAAAGTTTAATATTTCCTTTAAAGGAATTATTAAAAATTGTATAATAAAAATAAGTAAACGGCGGCAGAGCAATAAGCCATTAACCTGCAACGGCGACGAAAAATGAAAAGCGAAAAGCACAGCAGAAAATGTTTAGTCGTAAACACATTAAAAGGTACTTTGCATAAACTTTGGCTGCCACCCAGCCAGCCAACCACCATTCAAACCGAAAGGCAAATGATTCCACGGCTGTCAAGGCAAGGCTTGGCAAGGACACATTTTCATTTGCGATTTATTGGAAAAGGAAAAGCACCAACAACCCACGAAAAAGGCAAAAAAAAAATAAACAACAAATTTAGAGAAAAAATTTAAAAAATATGGGCCTCATTTCTTGACGAACTGACTGCTTGATTAAATGGCCCAATGGCCGACCAACCCACTCTATACGGCCGCTCTTAAAAGGCTTCATTAAAAACACATTTCGTGCATAAACGACAGGCAGCCCGTCAACACCAAAAACAAGAGAACCAGAAGCAGTTACAGAAACAGAAGCAGAAGCCAGCCATGACGACGACTCCATTCGAATGCAAGAAAATGCC